ACCCCAATATTACTGGCACAAATAAAAAAATCTAGAAAATAAAAAATGCTGGAGAGGCTTCAGGGAGATTGGAACTCTTATGCAGTGCTGGTGGGAATGCAAAATGGTGCAATCATTTTGGAAAATGAAATGGCACTTCCTTAAAAAGCTAGAAATAGAAATACCATATGATCCAGCAATCCCACTCCTAGGAATATATCCTAGAGAAATAAGAGCCGTCGCACGAATAGACATATGCATACCCATGTTCATTGAAGCATTGTTCACAACAGCAAAAAGATGGAAACAATCTAAGTGCCCATGAACAGATGAATGGATAAACAAACTGTGGTACATACACACACTGGAATACTATGCAATGGTAAGGAACAATGATGAATCTGGGAAACAGCGCACAACATGGATGAATCTGGAGGGTGCTATGCTGAGTGAAATAAGTTAGTTACAAAAGGACAAATATTGTATGAGACTACTATTATAAAAACTCATAAAAAGATTTACACACAAAAGGAAACAATCTTTGATGGTTATGAGGGAATGGAGGGGTGGGGAGGGAAAAACACTAAATAGACAATAGATAAGTGATGACTTTGGTGAAGGGTAAGACAGTACACAATACTGGGAAAGCCAGCACAACATGTCTGAGGCAAGGTCATGGAACCTTCATAGATACATCCAAACTCCCTGAGGGACCGAATTACTGGCCTGAGGGCTGGGGACAATGGTCTTGGGGAACATCTAGCTCAACTGGTATAATATAGTTTATAAAGAAAATGTTCTTTATGTTTGGTGAGTAGAGTCTGGGGTCTTAAAAACTTGTGAGCAAGCCATCTAAGGTACTCCACTGGTCTCGCACCGTTTGGAGCAAGGGGGAATAAAGAAAACCTAAGACACAAGGGAAAGATTACTCCTAAGGACTAATGGACCACACCTACCACAGCCTCCACCAGACTAAGTCTAGCACAACTAGATGGTGCCCGACTACCACCACTGACTGCTCTGACGAGGATCATAATAGAGAGTCCCGGACAGAGGTGGAGAAGAATATAGAACAAAATTCTAACTCACACACACGAAAAAAACAGACTTACTGGTCTGACAGAGACTGGAGAAACCCTGAGAGTATGACCCCGGGACACTCTTTTAACTTAGTAGTGAAGTCACTCCTGAGGTTTACCCTTCAGCCAAAGATTAGACAGGCTCATAAAACAAAACAAGACTAAATGGACACAGCAGCCAGGGGTAAAACAGAAAGGAGGGGACAGGAAAGCTGGTAATGAGTAACCCAAGGTCAAGAAGGGGAGAATGTTGACATATCGTGGGGTTGGCAACAAATGTCATGAAACAATATGTGTATTAATTGCTTAATGAGAAACTAATTTGCTCTGTAAACCTTCATCTAAACATAATAAAAAAATATAAAAAAAGATTGGATGAAGACTCATTAACAACCTGAGATATGCAGATGACACAACCTTGCTGCTGAAAGCGAAGAGGACTTGAAACACATAATAATGAAGGTCAAAGACTACATCCTTCAGTATGGACTGCACCTTAACATAAATAAAACAAAAATTCTCACAACTGGACCAATAAGCAACATCATGATAAATGGAGAAAAGACTGAAGTTGTCAAGGATTTCATTTTACTTTGATCCACAATCAATGCCCATGGAAGCAGTAGTCAAGAAATCAAATGACCTATTGCATTGAGAAAATATGCTTCAAAAGACCTCTTTAAAGTGTTGAAAAGCAAACACGTCACTTTGAAGGTTAAGGTATGGATGATCCAAGTCATGGTATTTTCAATCACCTCATATACATGTGAAACCTGGACAATGAATAAGGGAGACTGAAGAAGAATTGACACCTTTGAATTATGGTGTTGGCGGAGAATAATGAATATACCATGGGCTGCCAGAAGAACGAACAAATCTGTTTTGGAAGAAGTACGGCCAGAATGCTCCTTACAAGGTAGGATGGCAAGATTTGTTTTCTGTACTTTAGAACATGTTATCAGGAGGGACCAGACCCTGGAGTAGGACATCATACTTGGTAAAATAGAGGGTCAGCGAAAAAGAGGAAGACCCTCAATGAGATGGACTGATACAGTTGCTACAACAGTGGGTTCGAACAAAGCAACAATTATGAGGCTGGCGCAGGACCGGGCAGTGTTTCGTTCTGTAGTACATAGGGTAGCTGTGAGTCAGAACCGACTCAACAGCATCTAACAACAACAACAATCAGTGCTTACTGTGGACCAGCCATTATTCTAGGCCCTTTACTTATATTAAGTCATATAATCCTCTCAATAACCCTATGAATTAGATACTATTGATATTCCTGTTTTTCAGAGAGGTTCAGTAACTTCCTGAAGGTCACAAGACTAGAAAGTGCCAGAGTGAGGATGAAGTTCAGGCAGTGAGTTCTTAAACATTGTACATACTGCCTCTTGATCATATTTAAGTTCTCTTAGTGAGGCCACATTTCTGTAAACACCCACTACATAAAGAGACTGCACGAAGTCATTTAGGAAATATCACAGAAAGCAGGTTGGCCCTCTGAGAAATCCCACAAGACTAGAAGATCCCTGAGGGCAGCACCTGGTCTCTTCTCTCCCTGCCTATTCCCAAGGCCCAGCCCCATGACTGGTTCATGGAATTTGTTTACTAAATATTCATAACTCACCTCTGTATGTGCTCCCTGCTTAATAGCCTGCAACCCCATGTTACCCTAGACATGGATTAGAACTGCTGTCTGCAGGAAACCACAGCAAGGGGCCAGGACTATGGCAAGGCAGGTGAAGCACAGAATTTCACTTGCACGTCTCTGAGAGTGAGTGTTTCCTGAGAACTGTAATGTGGCTGCTGTGGGTCTACATGCCAACAGAGATGGAGAAGCTGGAGAGTCCTTCAATCCAGTTTACTGATTGAAATCTTATGAATTCAGACCATTTGCAGAAGATAAAGTAAATGAGAAAATATTTAATTAAAGACATTTTTAAAATAATGTGGCTTATGTCTTTTATTCGTGTATAGGTGAGTTGGAGAGCTGGAAAGCTGTAGAAGTGACAGGTGTTCTGCACCTGCACAGTAAGTGCAAGAGCAAAGTAGACACACTACTATGCTTCAGTTTAAGTACTATCACCCTAATAATGTGCAGTGTTTAATTTCTCTGGATATTTTTGGGATACAGTCTACTATATAAATACTTAAAAGGAAAGAAAGAAAAAGATGGCACCTAGGGAAGAGAGGCCCTGGAGCAGCTCTGAGCCCCAGGGCACAAGAAATCAATCAAAACTGGGCACAGTTTCTACCAATACCTCATGAGGCATTCTGCTGAGGCTGCATCAAGATGCAATGAGAGCACACCAACAGATGTCCAGACAGAGGCAGGTACAGGCAGGATCACTCCGCTGTGAGAGTACATGCCCCTGGGTTCTGAGCAGACCTTTTGCCAACATCATTTGGGCCATGGAACAGTTTGAACCACAGTTTTAAAATTAGTACCTCATTTTATTCAGTTCATTACAGGACAATTTTCTTAGTTGTGAAAAATATTCCTGAAAAGTAAGCCCAGGGATGCTAAGCCCATGTTCCTGCAGGCTCTGACCACCTAGCAGAGTGGGCACTGTGATGTGTCCACTTAAGAAACTTCAGGGATGTCTGCAGCTCTCTTGCAACACAGGATGAAGCAGCCCTGCAGGAAAATGGATTGATTTTTGAGTCTTAGCAATTCAGGATGCTCTGTACTTGTCACCTAAGTCGACTCTTAGAAGCGGAGAGGAGGGAGGTTGGCCATGACCTCGACTTACCTAATGACCTCACTTATCCAATGACTACTGCTGCATGCCTGGAAGTGTGGGCATTACGGAAGGGGGGAACAATCGCCAGAAGAGGCCTACCCTCCTTCCTGGACATTGCAGCCTAACGAAACATAATCTTGAGGACATGACCCCAGTGAGCAGTGAGCAGAGCTAGAATCCAGTCAGGGCGGTCCTGTGGGGACCGGGCCTGCAGAGGGAGTGGGGCAGAGCAGGGCAGGAAGTCTTCCCAGCCTTTCAAGTGAGCTAAAAAATGAGTCGAGGTTAGCCAAGTGAAGGGGAGCTGGAGGCTGTGGGTCACAAGTGGTCAAGTCAGAGTCAGTGGGCCCCATGAATGCCACCAGAGGACAGGGTCGTTTCTATTCACTGGTCTTGTTTAGCTGCATTGACAGAAGGAAGTCGAAGTGGGGTCCCAGCCCAGCCCAATAGCATTGTCAATCCAGAGGTTTGGGCTTTATAATATATTACAGTTTACAAACCACTTTTATTTATTACCTCGATGACAATATACTGCATTCAGTAAGAATACAAAACTGTGGAGAGAGTGGTGCACATTGTAAAACATGGATGCTATTTAGTAAAACCTCAGCAATAACAGAAAGAAGAGCAGAAAACACCCGCTCAGTCTTTGGAAAGTTGAACCAAAGATGACAGTGAAATGCAGACTGGGGCAGCCTTCACCAGAGACTCTCAGGGAAAGATGATGGTGTCCACAGAAATAATTCTGACTCCAGATGGTCAGATTGCTGAGGGCAAGGCCCACGGTTCTGGACCACCAGGTCAACCACTGCCCCAGAAGTGGGAGAAGGTGGCTCATTTCTGGGAGGAGAACAGCCCCAACTCCTCTGGCTGTCTTCTTCCTATTTCCTTCCTGTCCCCAAGGCCATCAATGGTCTCTTGTTTGCCCAGAGACAAGTGTTTCCTATGTTACCAAACATCAACTGGTTAAATTCACTCTCAGTCTTTTCACTTTTAAATAACCGGCTGCAGAGAGCATCCCCTTCTCAGGTAATGCTTCCTATCCATGGAAATGTGCCAGTCCCTTGAGCTATGGAGAAAAGGGACTTGTGATGATGCAGTATTGAGTGACCTGGGTGACCTCCTGCTGTAAGTCAGTTACAGTGCATCTCATAAGAGACTGTGCTTCCAAGGGAGGAAGAGCAGAGACAGAACTCACCTGTGGCAAAGACAACGTTCCTTGAGACCAGGCGGTGCTCCACGATGGAGAACTGTGGGAGTTCGATCCTTTCCACTCCAGTGACGGCCTTGTCCCCGCCTCTCCAGTAAAACTCAATGTCATCTGTGGTGTAGCCGTCTGCCAGAAGAGAGAGCAGGAACGTGGGAGACAGTGAGCATTATCACTTTGTATCAGTGCAAGGCTAAAGAAACGGGTACCAGTGAAATAGAAGTAACAGTTTTCCTATATATGAAGTATATTTGCTTAGTGTGCTTTTCTATCAGAAGACCTGTCATTGAAGCACTAACTTTCTAACATCTCTGTTTACCTCTGCTGCTTTGTTGATACCGAACTGGTGTTGAAAAGTTGAGGGGCTGGGAGGCCCGGTGCGCTATGCCCAGAGTTCTGTTTGTAAAGCCTGATGTAGAGCTTGCCTGGACATCGTGCAGAAATGGGGTCACCATGAGTCAGAGTTGAGTCAACTCAGTGGCAACTGGTTTTTTAACAGCAGTGAAGAAGAAGATGATTGCATGAGAACAAAAAGATTCTAGTATGAAGAATTCTGGAAAGGCAATTACCCTAAAAAGTTATTGAGAAGTTAACACAGTGAGGGTGAATTCAACCCGTAAATGTTTGATATCATGAGAAACTCTTAGAGCAAAAATAGTGTTCTCTTTGGCTCTGCCTGATGGTTACATTGGCTGCTCTTGGCCATGAGGCTTGCCAACCTTATAAAGGCCTTTTGCTGGGACAATCTGGGACCTCAGAGGTTTGACAGAAAGAAAAGAGAAAGAGAAGTGGCTGTTAGCCTGACTATATTTCCCAACCCAGCTTTTAGCACAGTGCTCAGTGTTCACACAGTAATCAATCAACAAGTTTTCCTTGAGAACAAGTACACAGGAAAATAAGGTCTGATGTTACTTGCACAGCCCAGGAGTATTCTACTTTATCTGTATGGTCAATTAGGACAAGATATTAAAAAAAAAAAAAAATCCTTTCACTAAAACAGACTCTGATTTGACCACATAATACAACAAAAAGGCAGTGCTTTATCTTTGACACAAGACAAACAAATGGGCCAGAGCTGGGGGATGACTGCTTCCCATGGTTCCTGCTAACTCCGTGGTTCAATCTTCCATCCTTTCTCCCCTGGATCACTGTGGTTGCCAGCTCCTATCTTGCCTCCTTATATTCCCTCCAGCTACACAGAATGCACTTAACTTTTTCTAACATAGTCCTTCGACTATTGGAAAAGAGTCATCATTTTTCCCTTGAGTTTTCTGTCTTCCGTGCTAAACATCCCCAGACAATTCAACTGTTCATCACTTGACGTGATTTAATGTCCTTCACCTTCTTGGAAAGCACAGCTCTCAGCAAAGTTGACAGTGATGGAGGTGTGGAAGTGAGGGGCACACAAAGGCTGCTCCATTGGGATCAGAACACTAGCTTACTACTGGGGAAATTTTTCAACATGTTTATTCATGGGGATAGATTCCCATCTCGTCACAGTTGCACAAAGGGGCACTGCAAAGTCAAAGTCATTTATCCACCAAAAAAATTCAGTGTAAATATTGACAAGCCCAAGTTCAACTGAAACTAATTACTAACTGGTCTATGGTAGATCAAGATAAACAACGTCAACAACAAAGCAACACTGGATATGCCAGGAGATGGAGATGGGACATTTGTTGTTAGCTGATACAGATGCAGTTCTCGTCCCTCACACAGAAGTACTCCATGCTGAATTATCAATAAAACAACGGAATACTCCTCAAATTGAAGAAAATTGCTGAAATGCAGAAAGAGATTGCTTGTAATGCTGAGTTCCTGATGGGAAATGAGTTTTACTGAGTGCCCAGGGTTTCACCAGCATAGCCATTCATGCATGATGAAGCATATTATAAGAAAATTGCGTATCTGTCTTTGCTCTTTTCTCACTGAATGGATTGAGATGGGGAGCACTAGTTTTTTATATTTCAGCAAAGCAAACAGACTCTGTTAATAAGATTAGAATGGAGAACTCTTTTATACAGAGTCTAACTCTCTTTTTATGACAGTAAATTTGGCCAAGTGGAGAATTAAATCTCTAATCTTTAAGACAGTCAAAAACTAATTCAAGAAAACTATATATGGCTCGGAAAAAATCCTAAATAATGGCAATAAACTCTATAACACAAGGTGGACAGGAAGGAACCACAGATGTAGATACACACAGCTTTCGATTTCCAGAGTACAGTTCTGCTCATCCAGTGGGTACCTCCTTAGGTCCATCATGCATGCTGCTGTCGTCGTGATTCTGAAACACATAGAGCATGGGAAAGCATTAAAGATGAGGGGAAATGGAGTAGGGTGAACTGCTTCTAGATAAACAATGCTTAGGGCTCCTTTCCCCAAAGTGTGCCTTGACTAAAGATATTTCACAATATACACTGAGAAACTAGAATGAATAACAAATTATCTCCAGGATAACATAGATCAGCTTTATCAAGAAAAACAACACAATAACTTTAAATCCTACAAAATTATTTATTGAATTTTGTTTACTTTGGAAATCAGGAGCCAATAAAGGGGTTTCTAAGGTAGTCCTTACGTTCAATTTTTGTTCTGCTCCTTCTCTGGTGATTCTCTAACCTTTATAGTATAAAGAAAATCAATGCGTGGGGGCAACACTGTTAGATTAAGATTTACTTCTTTGACTCTCCATGTGATGTGCTGAAGTAGCTACAGATCCACAGGATGTACTCTGGAACTCTAAGCAGAGCTTCCCCTTTAACTTACTTTATGGCAGTTATCTTCTGAGTTGGATTCTTACCCTTCAGAGTTTTCACCATGTGATCATCTATCTTTTCAAAAAGAATATCTGGCTTCTATGTTACTGACTATGAATCATAATTGCATTGATTAGCTTCCCTTGGGGACGGATGCAGTCATGGAAAGAATGTCCATCATGGCCCAAAGAGAGTAATGTCTCCAACATCCAATGGTTAAACAAAACATACATTGGGAGACAACACTTCTAGATATGTCAGTTCCATTTCCTACTCTGTCTACTCAGGGAAATCAACCTACCTAAGACCACTGTTGAAAATGGAACACCAGGGCACCGTGTTTTATACTATATTTCTCTAGAATACCACTCTTTCCCCACTGCAGTCACAGCTGACAGGACTGGATCCTAAATTCAAGGACAGCCAACCATTAGCTGGTCAGTGATCTAGAATGCCACCTGACTTAAAAGGCAGAGTGGAGCCAAAGAGATTCCCTTTCATGGAAATGAATTAGACTGTAAAGATAACAAGTACAGCTCAACTGACAAGGCCATAGATGATGATGCCATTTTCATATGGAGAGTAAAGTACAGAAAGCATAATAGTGGTAGAGAAAATACAGAGTAGATGGTTGAGCAGACAGTTTCATACTGAGACAAGAAGAAGACACTGGAGAATAGTAGCTATACCCTGGGCCACAGTATATGGCCTTAATGTGTGTTTACTGCTCATCTCCCGGGAAGGACATTCTCATAGCTCCTGTGGGAGTTGTGCAACTGGCAATCCTGGCTATGTCCACTCAAAGGTGGATTTTCAGAAAGAAGAAGATGCTTTCTCTTGAGATCCCAAGAGTCACCATAAACCCCCAGTTACCCTGTAGGTTCTGCTTCTCTTGAAGCCCGGGGTTCCGTTTTCATTGGATAACCCCCCACATGGCAGTTCACAACAAACCTACTATGGCTTCAGGTAGCATGAACAAGCTCTGTTCCTATCCACAGCAGACCCTAACCAAAACACTGGTAAAGCACCAAGTATGTGCTAGTTCTGTTGGGTTTGTCTCCTTTAACCCAAATGCAGGGGCTAAGGGAATCAAATATGTCCTTTTGTGCATATGGTTAGGCAGCAGGTTTGAGGAAAGTTCTTCAACTTTTCAATGGCTGAGAAGTGCAGTGAGAAAAAATGTCAACATATTCCACAAGTCTGGGTCAAAACTGATGTTTTCTAGACAAATTTCATACATCTGCCATGTAGACACACACTAGAAGTCCCATGCCAATGGTGGGAATGGGTCCTTTCCAAATGGCATGACAGTTCTATAATCATGACTGCATTACGTTCTATAATCCAAAATCAGTACATAGCTCTTTGGTATTTGACTTTCTGGCCAACTGAAGTACCAGCCTCCCAGTTTAAAATTCTGGCATGCTCTATGAAGACTGAAAACCCAACATCCATAAAAGATGCCTGCAAAGCAAAATTAGAATAAAGTTCTGTTACAATTATGAATTTTTATGAAGAAAAGAGCGCTACTGGAAATGTTCACGTTTTTAAATTCTTTCTGCATATTTTGGTACCTATTCACCTGAACAGAGTTGATAATTGAGACTACTATTTCTTATTGTTTTGTAATTTATTATCCAACACCACTCTAACACACACACACACACCACCCACCATACACATAAACATAATGTATACCACCAACACCACATACAGTACACACATACGCCACACAGAAACACAAACACATAAATGCTCAAATTGTTTGGGAACAACATGTGTGTCTGGCTCACATTATGCAGACTGTTTCAGATTAATTATTAGAAGGGGAACATGACACAAGCAGAATTGGTGTGAGTATCCTCTTTGTTTCACCAAAGCGGCTACTGTTTTTCTCTCCAGGACAGAAGCTGTCTGGGTTTTCTTATCCCAGTATAGCGCTGGCTATAAAATGAAGCCTTTTTCCTATTTACCTGTGGAGCAAGGTAGACAAATCTATTCACTGCTCTTCTTCCTATGGAAGAAATATTCAGAAAACCCTGTCACGATGGAGAGTGAGATACAAGAGCCTGCTCAGGCTACAGAAGACAGGTACTGAGATGCTACAGTGGAAGAAGTACAGAGGCCTGGTATGTTACTGAAGACAAAGTAAAAAAAAAAAAAAGTCAGAAAAAAGTCAGGAGGGGCAGAAAGACAGATCAAGAAGGTTATGCAGCATGAAGAACCCTACTAAGTCACAACATCCTCACGCAAGTTGGCTGAACTCACGACAGGCTTGGGGTGAGTGGATTTCTTGTGTGAATCAATGGGATTTTGTGCCCCTGCGACTTTGTACAAACCAGAAAAGGGCTGAGGAATTTCACAGTCTGGAGACTTGAGAGCTCCAGCTCAGTTGTCAGAGATAGACCGAGGGCAGAGAAGCCCCAAAGACATGTAGGCTCCATCTGCACACTCCCCAACATTCACACACATCTTTCGCATTTCCCTAATAAATGTTATTTGTCTGGAGAGAAGAACAGAACCAACATTCAGCTCCATTGCCATGGCCCTCTCTCTAATCTGAGAGTTCCTCTGCTGGACAGAGGCGAGGGAAGGCGAAATCTGGTTGGATGAGGCTCTCTGCAGTACTACTTTTTAGTAGCTCCATTAATGTTGTTGTTTCTTTTTTTGGTTGAAAGATAGCACCGCCTAGAGTATCTGTGGCTGCAATGTGTGCTGTGTGCTGATAGAAAAGCAGAGAAAGATGGTGCCAAGTGATGGAGAAGGTGTCTGCATTCAACATGCCCCTTCTTTACAGATAGTCATCTTTGGAGGATGCTGGAAGTAGAAAGTAAAACCAAACAAGAGCATCCACGGAGAGGTGGAGAGTTGAAGATTGAGGATTGAACAACACTATAGGAATGGGTGCTCAGAACAGCCGGCCATGCTTCTACTTTGTGTAACTTGCTCAGTGCTCAGGTTTGAGCTAAGCATTTTAATATGCACACATTTAATATCACAACAACCACACTACAGCAGTATTACTATTATTCCTATTTTGCAGTTGAGTAAACCAAGGCTTGGGAAGAATAAGGAGCTTGGCCATGCTCGCAATGCACTGAGAGGCAAACGCGGCATTCAGACTCAGCAGACTGAACCCTATACTACTTCTTTGACACCACTTCTGCCTTGAATAACACAAAATCATGTCTTAAAAGCCTAGATGGGGGCGAGGTTCTTGCTATGAAATAAGAGCAAATAGGGTGGAAAATTTGTGTTAAATATATATATAGATAGATACAGATACATAAATACATACACGTAACTTCAAAAATATATATACATAATATTCTCATCATATGTATGACAAGTTGGACATATAATATGTAAAGGAAGAAAATTAATGTTCTACATACTACCCCTGCAGTATATGTAGTGATATTTAATCCAAATGATTTCCTACTCATTGTGGGGTAGGTTAGAATTTATTAGATAGTCTTCTATTTTTATAAGGAATATATTTCTAAAGAGATGTCAGTGAAGTGTGAAAATGCAAGGAATAAACTTGAACGTTATAAGGGGCATGCTGTCTTTGGAGAGTCAAAAATCATATTGCGAACTACCAGGTGATCGTTCCTCTTTTGGATACTGACTTTAGCTATCCTTGTATGCTTGCTTCCTATACCACTGAGCAGGCAGTCAGTCTCAACTGTGTTAAGTTTATGAGATGTACTATGGAATCACCACTCCCATGTCTTAATTCTCACCCATTTAAGAGGACTAATAAGGGCAAAAAGAGTCCTGGTGGTACAATGGGTAAGAGCTTGGCTGCTAACCAAAAGGTCAGCGGTTTGAACCCACCAGCCACTCTGTGGGAAAAAAGACCTGACGATCTGCTCTCATAAGGATTATTGTTGTTGTTGTTGTTAGGTGCCATAGAGTCACTTCCAACTAATAGCAACTAATAGTACAACAAAACAAAATATTGTCTGGTCCTGCACCATCCTCACAATCGTTGTTACCCTTGAGTTCATGTTGCAGCCGCCGTGTCAATCCATCTTGTTGAGAGTCTTCCTCTTTTTCGCTGACCCTCTGCTTTACCCAGCATTACATCCTTCTCCAGGGACTGATTCCTCCTTATTACATGTCCAGAGTGTGTGAGACATAGTCTTGTCATCCTTGCTTCTAAGGAACATTCTGGCTGAACTTCTTCCAAGACTTATTTGTTCATTTTTCTGGCAGCCCATGGTGTATTCAATATTCTTTGTCTTCCTTATTCATTGCCCAGCTTTCTTTGGTCTTCCTTATTCATTGCCCAGCTTTCGCATGCATATAAGGTGATTGAAAACACCATGGCTTGAGTCAGGTGCACCTTAGACTTCAAGGTGACATCTTTGCTTTCAACGCTTTAAAGAGATCTTTTGCAGCAGATTTGCCCAATGTAATGTGTCCTTTGAGTTCTTGACTGCTGCTTCCATGAATGGTGACTGTGCATCCAAATAAAATGAAATTCTCGACAACTTCAATCTTTTCACTGTTTATCATGATC